TATTTCACATAAAAGGAAGTAGTAATAGTTATAGTTAAATAAATGTTTAATAATGATAATAATTGCATACATAAATATTTGATTGATAATATGAGATTATATATAAATTGTAAATGAAGATTGGTGAGGAAGTATAAAAGTTTTGTAACCAATCGACACACTGTATGTAACTGGAGGATGGTTTTATGTTTTATGTTTGTTTATGTTTGTTGGTTTTAAAATATCCCCCCCCCCCCAAAAAAAAAGAAAAAAAGAAAAAATGAATAATCAGTGCAGAACCAAAACCATGGTCAAAAAATTCCAATTCAGTCCTGGGCAGATAGGCAGAATGTAACCTATGCTTGGACTCTCTCACAGCACACAGAGAAGACGATTCAGGTAAGCCAACACCCCTTTTCCTGAAATAATGGAACGGAAACAGAAAGCTACACTGTGGCTCATCTATCAGCCCTTCGGAAGAAAAATACTGAAGATGAGGGAAAGTTGAGTGGAGTTTCTTAATCTTCTTTAGTTGTCCAATATAATTGGAAAGCAGGATGCACTACCTGAATAATGACCTAATGTATATGCACTAGTATGTGTGCATCACAATAAAAGATAAAGTCTAATTTGGAAGGCAAGTTTGTTTTTCGACGTGGAACATTTATTCTGGTCTTTGTAGCCCCTATTTCTCTAGGGTTTAGAGGATCAACATTAACCAGTCCATTGAAAATGGTTGAATGTATTCTGGCTCTTTATATAAAGAAAATTGGCGAAATAAGCATTCAGGCATTTTCGTATAATCAAATATGTATTAAATTGCTTTTTGGATAGAAAAGAACCTTGTTCACATTCTAAAATAAATGAATGATTTGCAGTCCTAGATATTTACTAGTTATATATTACTATGTACATATAGTAATTACATTGAGAGGAAAAATATTTTTTTTCATAACAATTAATGTTTGTAAATGTTTATGGAAGTACATAACAAATATAACAAACACATGGACTAATTAAGATGAAAAGGATGACAACCCTTGTGGCTTGTTCTGAAAAATAAAGAACATTACAATGGTAAGACTTAATTATTTCTGTAAACATTTCAAATGACTTTCCACTTAAAAATGGAATTTCTAAACTAGTTTATATCTTCTAAACCTTTTTGACATTTATATATACCATGTCAAAAATAAATTACTCCTTATTTATTTATTTACTTTATTATGGATTTTAATATATTACCATTTATGACTGCATATATTTGAATTTTTAAAGGCATTTATTATTGAATCATAAATGAAAAGGCTTTTTTCTTGTGGTTTTTACATTCATTCATACATACATTCATGCAGTACAAAAACTCATTGATTGAACATTAATATATAATTACTTTAGTAGTAAGGTGAATTTTCATTTATATGTCATACACAAATAATACACTACTAGCTGTGAGATATATTATGCATATCACACCATATACATGTCAATGTGTGTGTGTGAGTGTGTGTGTGTGTAATACTATACACTCAAGCTCAAGCATACAAACACACAAGTATACACACAAACACACATAGCTACATACCTCAACGAACAAAATATGGAATTAGGAGCCAATAGTAGCTAGGGCAGAGAGGTATGAAAGCTAAATGCAGCCAAAACCAAGAAAAGGCAACTATAGTAGTAATCAAAGGTATTTCTCTTCTAATAGGACTGTAGCCTTCATATCCACATAAACTATGAAAAGCTAATGTCTCCATTAGTAAGGATGATGTAGAGCATGATGTAGAACATGCGTCATCACAGTTGTCACATGACTTCCCCTTTGCTAAACAGGGTGTGGGCGTGGCTAGCATGTGTTGCATCTAGCCTGAAGCCCGTGAGTTTGACACCCCTGGTGTAGAGGGATTTAACAAACATTAAATGGGACCATGTAGGCTTGCCAAATTAGGTTTAGTAACACTCCGCTAGGGAAAACTACCCACTAATAATAATCTTATGTTTGTATTGAATCTCAAGTTTATTACTATCATTCATTCTGGTGGGAAAAATAAAGGAGGTGGTTTTTTAAAGCAAATTCCTTAATGCCAGCAAGTCAAATCATTGTGGGAAATAGGCAACCAAAGTCACTCCACAGAATTGGAGGGAGAGGAGCAGTAATCAAAATACATGCTTAGGTAGCTCATCATTCTTTACTGGCCTATTGGCAAAATGGGAAATCAGTTCACATAAATATCCATCTGTTTTAAAGATGATATTTCTGCCTGACCAAAGACAGATGAATCCGTATATAGGTTATGGGTATCTAATATATTACATATGTGTCTGATGAATATAAACATCTGAAGCAGTTCATTCATTTGCATATGAGTTTGGACCACTGTTTGTTTCAATTATGGACATATTATGGTTGCACTGTGTGACTTACTACGTCATTGTGAAGAAGAGGGCATCATTTTGGTTTTATTATTTGGAACAGATGAACATTTAATAAGTGTGTGTGTGTGTGTGTTGCTAATGTTGTAATGGTGTTTGGAACTGCACCGCATCATTAATATTTTGCAGCATTGATCAGGTTGGATAAGAATAATGTAAACGGCAGTTTAACTGTGCTCTTATTTTGTAAGATAACATGTTAATGATGTGGCTGTTTTAATTTAACTTTAACAGACAATTTAAATATAGGTTTCCTTTACAGAGACAAAAGTTGCAATTTAAAGCTCTTTGGTAGTCTAAAAACAGCTTAATTCTCTAGTAACATAGTAATAAGTATTAATCCAGCTTATGCAGTGATTGCAGTATGTCATGTTTGTGAAAGATTCTCTAACTGGGCTTTCTCTTGGCTTTAGGTATATGTCTGTTTCAGTGCATATGTGTATATACATGTACACAATTGTTAAATTTCTTATGCTGAGACAAGCTATTCATTTTAATTGACGTTCAAACAGCAGCAAAAATTACCATGTCTCTAAGGTTTCCTCAACATCACCATGTCTCTTTACCTCCCATGTAGACTGGGTGAGAGGACTGTTGTTTTCTTCATAAGTGGAGGGCACTGTGGTAAAGGTTCATTTTTTAGAGTCTAAATTCCCTTTAGTGAACAGGAAATCATTGTGACCTTTATTTTTCTAGTGGTTGAAACAGCATCATTAGAATTGGTATGCCCAATTCTTGGTATGTTTCTTATGTTTTGGGGCAGTGGAATTTTGCATCTGAGTTTTGGGTTGCCAGAGGTTGCAGTGCGGTCTAGAGATTTTGCAGAAGCTAATTAAATTTCCCTTTAAAGCTAAAAACAAAACAAAATTCATACCTAAAATATTGATCCCATTCACTTGAGGCTCAGTCAGCTGCAAAAGAGGAATTATTCAATTGCAGTTTTCCACCCTTGATTTAGTTCATTAGGAGATGGAATTTCATTGTTAGATTTCTTCATCATACAAACCTGTTCTGACCCCCCCCCCCCTCGTCCCACACCAACACACTCCGAGCCAAAGATAAGTTACGGCATTTAATTAACAGACAGACAGGTCCTTGACAGCAAACCGGCACAGAAAAGCTTGGGCAGCAATCCAGCACAGATAAGCCATGGCAGCAATCCAGCCTGCCAAGTTCACAATAATGTTCTCCAGCATTAGTTTCTACGTTGACTTCTGCAAAAGGGGTGTGTGCACAAGCAGTCCTTTTACAGTCTGGAGAGGAGCCTAATGACCACCAGCTAAGTGCAATTACCTCCTGTACTTGCACAACTGTTCCTGATGCCTATTAGCTCTTTGGTGCCGGACATCCAGGAACAACTCACTGCTGGCGTCCAGATCACTCTCCCTTGTCTCCTCCCCACTGGTCCAAGGCTCAGGCGCCTCCTGGTGGCCAACCAGCCTCTCTGCGCCCTGCTCGGAGTCGGAATCCTGTCCAGGGTCCTCCAGAGCCGACTCATAGGGCCCCTTGCTGTCGGAGTCTGGTGGCAGCTCCAACGGCTCCTGCTGGGCCACAACACAAACCCATCATCCATCTCTCTTCTAAATGAGAAAAACAGATTGGACAAGAAAGTAGGATATGACTCTTCTTCCAGAAACTAAGCTTAATATAATTTAAGTTTGTGCCTAACCATGGCAAAGGAAAGAAAGCTAGACAAATTGTAGTTTTTAAAAATTAACTGGGAAAAGAATCTTTTGGGTTCAAATTTTCATTGGAAAGTGAATTAGATGCTGTGTTTTTAAAGCTTGCCTCTGTTTATGCTCAGGTCCAACACTGATTTTTTTCAAAAGAAACAAAATTATATTCATTCCTTGAATTTATTGGGAGAAAGTTGCATTAACCAGATATTAGTAAATAACAGGTTACATATCTGAATGGATTTCAAATTCTGTTGCAACTCAGTTTAACCTTAGTATTGGTATTTGAAGCCCTATGAATCTCTTAAAAGGTTATGAACTGTCTTTCCCATTATTTATAATCTCATAATAATAGATGGGAGCTGTGTGGGATATTTAATAAAAAAGGGGGGAAAGGAAATCTGAACAAAAAAATAAAATAAAAACCACAGTAGTTATTGCATAAATCAAAAGGTTTTATGTCATAACAGGAACATGTGCCACGCTTGCTTGTATATTGAATTTTAGTAGTTGGTTGCATAAAAAAGTGAAGTGTAATGAAACTGCAAGCAAAGTATTCCCCAGTCAGCCTTATCTTTGTTCTGTTTGTCCTTCAGACATAGCTTTTCTTGCCTTTTTCAATAAAACCCATCCAGCTCTTTACTTTCATTATTTTTTTTTCATTTTGCATCTCTCTGTAACCGAGCTGAGAAAACCAATGAGATTCAGTGCTTTTCTATTCGAATCCTTGGCTGTTTTTTAAGAGATCAAAACCTAGAATCCTGCTACATGGTATTAAGGCTTAGCCACTGATGTTCCCTATAGAGGTTATGTTTTTCTTGTGGGGAGATGGGTGGGAGGGAAAAGGGTGAAGGGTGACACTTTTGAACAGGCTTGTAGACAGTAAACACTGCTTTCCTTGTTTCTTAGGATCCTCTTTGCAAGCTCGGTGCTTAACCTGACTGAACTGGTTGCCCTTCGGCCTGACCTTGGCAAATTGAAAAAGATCCTTTACTTCCACGAGAACCAATTGACATATCCTGTCCAGAAATGTCAGGAAAGGGACTTCCAATATGGATATAACCAGATTCTATCATGGTAGGTACATCTTGTACCCTCTTGTGGTTAATTATTCTATTTTTAAGTCACTTTCATTCATTCAACATTGATAGAATCCTAGTCCTTTTCAAGGGATTACAGAGATAAAGAGGAATGGACCAATGTAGTATGAAAATATCAGGGGAGTCTACTTTCTATAATCTGATCATAGAGAGAGAAGCATGCCTAGATTTTATTGTGAGAATCAAGTTCTACCCTAACAAATTGTACTACTTTTCAGTATGTACCTTCCTTGTGATACAGACAAGATGTTTATGCTGTAAGAGTACTTAACAAAGGGGCAATTAATCATCACTGGTTTAACAATAGTGTTTATTGCATACAACTGAAATTAAAATAGAGTTCAAGGAAGCAAACAAAAATTATAATATCCTCCAGCAGCAATATTAAGGTAGAGAGGGTTGTAAACCTACCAGATAAATCCTTACATTTATTTCATTGTGTATTCACAATTTGTGCAGTGATAAAACACCCAGATATTTAAAAGGCTGTGATCCTTTATATTGTTACTTTGAAACCAACATACTTCTTGAACATAAGTTAATGAAATAAAGTAATAGAAGTTTAGAAGTTTAGAAGTTTAATTTTATTTATAGGCTGCCCAATCCCGGAGGACTCTGGGCGGCTTACAGAAAGGGGAAATAAAATAAAATAAAAATAAAATAGACAAATTAAAAAACAACACGGATACATTCAAGTAAAGTTTTAGACACCTACATTAAAATTGAAAAGCCAAATTTGCTTGAATATAAAATTGATTCATTCATTCAGTCAGTCAGTCAGTCATATCCTGCTTTTATTATTATGTTCACCAACAACTCAAGGCAGCAAACATAGCCAACATACCCCTCTCCTATTTTTCCCATAACAACAAGTCTGTTTCACCTATTTTTATTAAAAGAATTATTGTAAATGTAGAGTGAACATTTTAAGGCTTACTTAAAAATGACAACTGGGACCAGCATCTCCAGTGCAGTTGTTAAGCACTGTTCTTAACACTGTGGTTAAGCCTGCAGTTTGTTAAGCAAGACATCAGGTGACTACAGCTTGCAGATTTACTGCAGTCAATTGACTGTTTGTCAGAAACTGTCTGTGAAGCATGCAAATCATAATCGTATGACTTCAGGTCATAGGATTGCAGGACTGTGATGGTCATAAATGCTCATGGGATGCAAAATATCTGAATCTTGATTGTGTGTGAGGACTGCTTATAAGCTACTTTTTTTCCAGCTTTTTGCGTTTATTGTAAACAACAAACTAGTCAAGGAACTACCAAAAGGAAAACAACATTCCCACCAACATAGGCAGGGAAGCCACTGTTATAGACAGAAAGCAATCTCACCTCCCTTCTATTCTAATGATGTTACCTACTGGTAGTTTGTTAGTGAAACCTCTGCAACAAAACAACCAAGCTCAGAGAGCACCAAGGGCCCCACATGAAACAAACGAAATATTAAAAAGTTATATTTATGTAGTTACTTACCAAGCACATCTAAATTATATTGAAGTAACCCAAATTTCTTTACAATCCCCAAGGTATGTCACAACTTTTGAACTTTTTTAATGTTTGAAAATTGAATTTGAAAAATTTGATGCCCTATCACCCATAGTTCAACCCTGAGCTGTAAATATTTCCTTCTATTGCCATCCATGGTTCCCTCATACCTTTCATATATCCCTTCTCATTATGTCTACTGTTGCATTAGCATTCCATCAACTAGGGGTTATCTTGTCTTGTCCATGTATAGTTAATTTCAATAACCCACTTATTGTTAGTTTGTATTGGTTTCCCAGCATTTGGTCTGGATTCTGTTAATCTGGGCAATGTCCAGACCAGTATGACTATCTTAGTTCATGTCACTCTTATATTTGAGGTAAAAAGGTGAAGCTTTAGGGGGTCATACTATGCTGTTACCATTAAGTTATCCAGCCGTTCTATTTTTTTTTAAAGCCAATATATAAAAAGCTGTTTGTGTGGAAGAAATATGTAAGTGGAGAAAAGAATGGCTAAAGTACAGGACTAGAGGTAACCATATCCTCTATCAGTAATTTGTTAGTAATTCATGTAAAGATCCATAAATTTTAAAGAAGTAAATATACAATCTGTATATTGCAATACAATTTTTTTTGCAGTACAAATGGCATGTGTACCTTTTTCTGTTATATAAATTGTAATCAGTATTCTATATATCAAGGTAGGGCAGAAATACCAGAGCAGTTATCTTTTGTCCCTTATAGAATGCACATTAGTTTTTGTGTGCCATTTTAATGCCACTAAATTGGCATTTTTTTCCTAATTTGAATTACAGGATTACCTTTATGTGTGTATAATTCATAAATACAAGGTCAGCATTTTTTTATTAGTTGATTTTTTTATTTGTGCTATCTATTTTTGCATTTATATTATTGATATGAATTATTTTAGCTCATTAAAATGGGTTTTGTAAAGAATTAGAGATGGGAAAAAGATGGCTTATGTCCTTTTTCTCTGAGCACATTTTAACTTGTCTAGGTTAACTTACAATAATAACTACTGTATTTTTTGAACTATAAGACACACCGGACCATAAGATGCACTTAGGTTTAGAGGAGGAAAACCAGGAAAAAATGGTTTTTGCCTCCCTGAGTCCCATTTTCCCCCCTCCCTAGCATCCAGAAACACTCAGCAGGCAAAAAACGGGCCTGTTTTTGGCCTCCGGAGGCCTCAGTGGATCCTGTTTTTTTCCCTTCCATGCTTCTGGACACCGGGGAGGAGAAAAATGGGACCCGTGGAGGCAAAAACTATTTCTTTCTTTTTCCTCTCAGAATTCTAGGTGTATCTTATGGTCCGGTTTATCTTAAAAATATGGGCCCGTTTTTGATCTCCCCAGCATTGGAGTGTCCAAAAATGGGACACACAGAGGGTTTGGGAGGCCAAAAATGGGCTCGTTTTTGGTCTGCAGAGTGAGACTTTGTACTATGACAATCCTTAGGGAATGGGCCCACATCTACCTTATTCCTAGTGAAAGAACAGCTTTACACCAAACAAGTTCTATATATTATTGATTGTTGTTTATTTTCTCCCTCTTTTATTAGCTTGGTTGCTGACATTGTGGTTTTCAACTCTGCCTACAATATGGAGTCATTTCTAACATCAATTGGGAAATTTATGAAATTGATGCCTGATCACAGGCCTAAACATCTGGAAAAGCTAATCAGGCCAAAATGCCAAGTCCTTTACTTTCCAATAAAGTTCCCAGATGTGAGCAGGTTAGTACCTTTCTACCATGTTCTCTCAATGGGGTCAGGTATTATTGCATTTCATTTCACCACTATCATGATCATGCTAACCAAAATAATACATTTCATGCCAAAATATTTTTCGAGACAGAACTAAGAGTACAGAAAGTATTAAGCCAGGGCAATTTGTAAGCAAGCAATCATAGAGATGGAAGAAAAGGAAAGAAATTAGAGCAAAAATAGAAAGACTGCTGAAGAAAAAGTTCTCTCTGGAAAAAAAAATTAAAAGACGTGTTTTGATATATTTGTTGATTTAGAGAAAGCATATGGTAAGTGAATAGGCTTAATTTATGGAAGGTTTGTGTGAAGAATGTTGTTTGCTGAATACTGTATGAATGATAAATGGAGAAAGTAAAGCATGCATGGATATAAATGGAATGCTTACTGAATGTTTACATTGATGAGAGACTAAAAGAAGGTTATATAATGACCCTTCATTGTTTAATGTATGTATAGCCAAATGTTTAAGGAAAGCTTATGGTGATATTGAAATATGTTGATTAGATACATGATGTATATGTATTTTTGAACACAAATGATGTCATGTTGTTAGCTGGGAATTTGAATATTGGAATATATATATCAATGAAAATGGGTTTGAACCTTTTAAAACTTCTCCACCCAGTTTTACATCTTTTGTAAATATATTTTCTATTAAGATAAACAAATTCATTTGTTTATCTTAATAGAAAATATATTTACAAAAGATGTAAAAATGGGTGGAGAAGTTTTAAAAGGTTCAAATGCTGGTAGAAAAGTAATGGGTATTAAGTGATCTGTTGTGAGAATGAATATCAAAACAAGCAAATTTGGTTGCTTATAAAAGCTGCTTTTGTTTACTTAGTGATATGGAGCTGAAAGTGGAGTATAAAAGGAGAACTATAAAGGGAATGGATTACTTAAGAAATGTGCAGGGAAGGAGGAAATAAGGCCAGGAATAAGTGGGTGGCAATGAAAGTTGATTCATTGACTGACTATAAAAATGTGATGAGGAAGTTTGGTCATATATAGAGAGAATAAATATAGAAGGAATATATGAAAGAAGAATGAATTAAGAAAGAAGGAGGAAATGAACCAGACAATTGATTAAATAGAGTTGGTAGGAGAGAGGTATGCAGTTTATGGGAGCAGAGATAGGTTACAGAGATCAAAAAATATTGAAAGTTACAGTGAATGGTGTCTACGTAAATTAAGTTTGGTTGTATTTCTTTTTTTCGTTTTATAGCATATGTTTAGGGTTGGGTTTTTTTGCTTACTAATTCTTGAGATCTTTTGGTCCTTTGCATAACATTGATTTCTCAGAAGACAGTAGTGTAATTGGTATGTATAGATGGATGGACTCCTACTTTGTCAGTGTTGCTTGTGTGTGAGAGAGAGGATGCGGGGGAGGGAAAGAGAGAGAATGAATGAATATGAATGAATGAGTGCTGCCATAGGAAGCATGTCCCAATGCATTTGGTTAGATTGTTGCTTTCTCAGATCTCAAATAGCTAAGGATTCTTCTCTGATGTCTAACATCCTGATTTTTTAGACTTAGACTTATTGTCACTTTGAATGTACACTAATTGGCATACATTAAAATGGAATTTTGTTGCATAGAGCTCTCAAAGGGACACCACCTCCAATATACACTGCATAAACATGATTAAATACATACGTATAAAAGTATGCATATACCCACATATATGACACAGAGAAACAATACAGGTACGAGCGTTCCTTTAGCGGAAGTTTGAAGTTACGCAATAAGCGCTTCCTAGTATTTATGAACAAGTCCCGAAACTACAAATCTTGTAGCACCACTGCAGTTGTTCACCCTTATGAACAACCTCAGAGGTTCTGCAACATTCATCCTGCACATTGCTGGCTGAAATAGAGACAAATCCTGCGAGTTTATTAGACGGATGGCATAGGGAACAAAGCTGTTACAGAATCTGGTAATCTGCTAGAAAATGGTTTTAAAAAATACCAGTATTCCAGTGAATCTTTTCTGTCTCCGTGTACGATTGGGAGAAGACAAGGTGAGAATTGGAGGACTACCAAACAGAATTTTCAGACCCAAAGTATAAAAAGGATTGAAAAATCACCTCCAACAGAAGATGAGGAGAAAAACCTTTCCAGAATCAGGAAATACAAGACACAGCCTTAGCAATGTGAAATTATTTAATTAATACATTATCTAGTGACACTGAACAGTTCCTTTGTGGAATGCTACTGGAAGGGAGAACTGCACAACCCTAAGGATTACTTCGCGCCTCCTACACACATCTATCTGTATTTTGAGGTCATTTTTTTCCATGCACCCCATCCTGTGAAACAGTAGGGGGATTCCTCGAGAAGGAAAAACCCATCTTTCATCAATATGCCAACATCTTACCCTGCCAACTACTTTCATGTCTTCTCTGATACTTGCAGCATTTTTTTAAAAATTATTATTATAGGCTTTAAAATATTAGTCATTTGTAATATTCTGGAGGGTCTATAATTTTCATACTGCTTTTATATATTTGCTTTTTTTAAAACCTTTTTATGTGCTGTTTCTTTTATGTATGCTTTCTACTGTTATAGTAAACTATCCAGACAATTTATTTGAATAATGGGATGTCCATTTTAATGGAAGAATGCATAAACTAATGTTTGGTTTGTTGGTCCAATAATCTGACTTAGTATTAGTCAGCTTTTAATGTACCAGTTACTAGTTTGGGAATGACTCTGTTGGAAGTATGTTAAATTAATTTGCTACATATTCTTATATAATTTTGAAAACTATACAAAAAGATACGGGTTTTTAGCAGCTACACTAGAGAATTGCTGACATTTATATATGCAGAATATATAAAAAGAAAATACATAAGAGATTGGCCTGGTTGAATACATGCCAGTGTGGTTTTTTTTTTTAAAGGCATTGTACAATACTCAGAATACTGTGTTTCAAAAAACAAATTCAATTTCTTAAACATATCTTTTACACAAATTTTCATTCATTAGATTTGAAAATTAATTGTGGCATACCTTCTGATTTATTTTATATAATGTGTGTGTGTGTGTGTGTGTGTGTATGTATGTATGTATGTGTGTGTGTATGTATGTATGTATAAAACACAAACTATTTACTGCTTGTAATAAACACTAACAGAGCAATCCATGCATGAAGTTATGCATTTTAGTTTCAGTTTTTAGTTACAGTTGCCGCTATTTATTTTTCTAATAAGATCTTCTGTTAAATAAATGTTGAATGCACCTATGGCAATTGAATGCAGCTTATTAATTTAGTCTGTGTTACTCTAGCAAAAGCAAGCTGAATGGAAATGGAGAGAAAAAGGTTAAGAAATATCAGGGCCAAACTGAGATTCATAAAGCAAGCTTTTTGCCCAGAGTGTTTTTGAAGTTATTTTCAAATGGTAATTTGCTTTATCCAAACCAAACTCATACACTGTAAGTAAGTGATTATTTGCATGAGTGACAGTCATTTGAATGCCTGCAGTCTTTTAAAAATGCATAAGTTTGCAGTGATGTCGAGGGCGGGATGGAGAACAAAATAACCAAGGTGATTTTTTTTCTCTCTCCTTATTTTGACCTCCTTTTTACTTGTTGTTACTTCCTTTAATATGATTTGTATTTCTATATCCAGCAGAGTTATATTGAAAACAAGAAGCTTGCAAGTAAGATTTGTAAAAGTAAGCTTCATTTTAAGTTAATGTTGTGATTCTGATATAAAATAAAAATATATTAGTGCAGGATACATGATCTAGAACTGGGACATATCACAAGAGTAAGTAGGTAGCAATTTAGGTTAAAAAAAAAAGAATTTATTTATAGTGATTCTTAACCAAAGATAACAAATGCATCTTACAAAAAACAGGAGTAGGTTAATTGTGTCAGAGTTAGAGGAGAGATATGCCAATTTCTAGGTATAATGTGTATGTGTACAGTATCTTCTTTCAGAGTAAATAGCAGTGCCAAGTAATCTTTGATTTTTGGTATGTGTTTGACTGTAAACAACAACTGCACATAATTGTTCCCTTCAGTTTCCGATTAGTCTTACTTCTCTGATCAACTGATAAAATAATTAAAATATTAAAAGGTTCTAATACAAATAATCAAAACAGCAATCATGAAGATGCAAGTGCACCCTAAATAGCTATGTTAACATTGCAATATATAACTAAAACAGGAAAAGTCAAGAAAAAATAAATAAACTTTCTCATTGAAAATATTCTCCAGGGAAGAATAGGTTCTCAGAGAGACAAAGATTCAAGCAGCCATTGTGTAAACAACCAACTACAGATTCCGCATAACAAGTGCAAAATACCGTCCCCTTGCTGGTGCATCATAAGCTGGTGAGAAAAAGATTCAAGGCATTTCCACCCTATCATACCCTAAGAGATAGTGGCTCTAAACTTTGTTTCTGCAATTTATGTGCTGCTCAATTCCCAAAGGGCTGTTGGGAAATAATTCACTTGTTAGACATTTTTTCCCACTACTCCTGTCATCTTAATCAATCTCGCTAAAGAGAAATCTGGAGGTTCATGCTTGGGGAAAAAACAACCTGGCAAACAACATTTACAATCACAATATGTACTTCAACTTTGTCCATCTATCTCTCCCCACCTATTTTTGGTCAACCTGCCACCTACTCTGCCACCCCCAGCTGACCATCACTGTCTTCTACCTTCTGCTGCTGATGTGGCACACCCAACCAAGGCAGCTGCTAGCCCTTTGCAACACCTCATGACCACAATGTCTTGTGAGGCCTCTGCAAGGCCTCCATAATGCTTCATGAGGCCTTTGTGATGCATGCGTGACCCCTCACAGAGGCCTTGTGAAAGGTCAGTAGCTGCCTTGGCTGTGCACTTCTCAGCAGTAGAAGAAAGAAGACTGCAAAGGGGCAGCTGGAGGTGGCAGAGGGGTGGAGAGCAGGGCAGCCAAAAGGGCAGAGATGGTGGAGGAGCAGATATGTGGGTAGGAGA